TGGTGTAGACTATTTGAACACATTTGAATCTTCTAACTCACCTCTTGTGAAGAGCAAGAAATTTAGTGACTCTATACATAAAACATTTGACAATTTGTGGAAAAATAATAAAAATAATGATGCTGTCTGGTTACTTCTAGCATCTCTGGATAAAGTGACAAGCTCCAGATTCAAACCAACAGTTTAAAAGTTTCCAAGTGTGTCCTGGAAAAGAATCTTCTCTCCAGCAGCCAGAGAGCTAAAGCTGCAGAAAATAAAGCTGGAGCACTTAGTATACTTTTGGTTGACCTACAACACAAATTTAATTCCCAGCCTCGAAGGGTGTCAGCAGTAAAGGTGAGGGCATTGGTAGGGAAAGACTGGAATCCTGACACATGGGATGGAGATGTGTGGGAGAACCCTGAGGAGGCTGAGGATTTTGAATCCTCAGACTCTAAGGATTTTGATTCACCTGATGAATTAATCTCCCCACCATCAGCAGACCCACCCTCCCCACCCTTGCCTTGCAAGACAAAGCTGATGTCACTCAGGGCCCAGTTGTTGTTGCTGCTAGACCTATAACCAGACTCAGAGCTAAGCAGGCCCCTAGAGGAGAGATAGAAAGTGTGGTCCATGAGGAGGTGGGCTACACCACTAAAGAACTTAGTGAATTTGCTAATTCATTCAAGCAGAAGTCTAATGAGTATGTCTGGGAATGGATTTTAAGGGTATGGGATAATGGTGGAAGGAACATAAAATTGGATCAGGCTGAGTTTATTGACATGGGCCCCCAACTGGAGATTCTTGATTTAATACGGAAGCTCGTGCAGTTAAAAAAGGTGTTAAAAGTTTATTTGATTGGTTGGCTGAGGTATTTATCAAAAGATGGCCTACCAATAGAGAGCTGGAGATACCTGATATCCCTTGGCTTAGTGTTGATGAAGGAATTGTAAGGCTCAGGCAAATTGGTATGCTCAAGTGGATTCACAGTGCAACACCAAATTCTCCATAATGGGAGGGCCCAGAGGAAATGCCTTTTACTGATTTTATAAGGTGGAAAGTGATAGATAAAAAGTAGCCATATGATGAATAGGGTTGATCAGGAGAAAGCAGAGTTTATTAGCAAAGGAACACATGGGACAGATTCCCTTCCGGGCAGGGAAAATGTCTGCTGGGTCGTGAGCTGGGGTCTTTTTAAAAGGGAGGCTTCAGCTTCCTGCAGAAGGCAGGAAGATGTATTTTTTTAAAGTTGGGTGGGAGGAAGTGGGAGAGCAGGACTTTGATCTCTCTTTAGAGATCAAAGGGGAAGCCTGTTGTGTTGGCCAAACAGTGGAGAAAAGTCTGCTTCTCTTGACTTCAAAGACCAAACAACATATCAACTCAGTTCCCTTTTCTCGGGAGCTTGAGAAGTCCGTGAGACCCTGTTGGTGAGGAGGCGGGGCTATCTGAACCTTAACAGAAAGTACTGAGACACCAGAACGTTTGAAGAGCATTGTTTTTTCTCTTTTCCTTATGCCAAATCTTACAGTTGGAGATGCTGCTGCTCAATTGCATAACTTAAATGTAAATATAATACGTGTAACAGGACCTCGGAGTAGGGGTCAGGTGGCAGTATTGAATTATTAAAGACAAGGTGAGCGTACTTATTGTAATGGGCGGCAAAGGCAAATCAGTACCTACAATGGCATGACTCAGATGGACCTGTGGTATTGGATAATCAATCATGGTGTTTCCAGGGACCACATACATAAGAAGCCTACTAAGTTTTTATTTGATCTGTATAAGCAGAAAAGCTCTAGGATGAATGACAGGAAGTCAGTGTTGGATTGCAGCAATAGAGACTCTCGCTCAGTCAACCAATTTCCAGACTTGGGACAGTTTACAGACCCAGAACCCCTTGAATGAAGGGAAGGCCGGGTGCCCTTGAGGAAGGACCTTGTTACAGTACCAAAGAGTTTTGCTGTTTGCCTCTCACCCATCCTTCCCCAGAGGGACCTGTGGCCTTTTACTGGAGTAACTGTACATTGGGGGAAAGGAAATAATCAGACTTTCTGTAGCCTATTGGATACTGGTTCTGAGTTGACACTGATTCCGGGAGACCCTAGAAAGCATTGTGGCCCTCCAGTTAAAGTAGGGGCTTATGGCGGTCAATTGATAAATGTAGTTTTGGCTGAAGTCCAACTGACAGTGGGTCCAGTGTGTCCCCGACTCATCCTAGTGGTTATTTCCCCAGTACCAGAATGTATAATTGGGATAGATATACTTAGGAATTGGCAGAATCCTCACATTGGTTCCCTGACCTGTGGAGTGAGGGCTATTATGGTTGGAAAGGCCAAATGGAAACCACTGGAATTTCCTCTGCCAGGGAAAATAGTGCACCAAAAACTGTATCGCATCCCTGGAGGGATTGCAGAAATAGTGCTACCATCAAGATTTGAAAGATGCAGGGGTGGTGATTCCCACCACATCTCCCTTTAATTCTTCTATTTGGCCTGTGCAGAAGACAGATGGGTCATGGAGAATGGGTCACTATCAAAAACTTAATCAAGTAGTGACTCCAATTGCAGCTGCTGTACCAGATGTGGTGTCCTTACTTGAGCAGATTAATATGTCTCCTGGTACCTGGTATGGAGCTATTGATTTGGCAAATGCTTTCTTCTCGATACCAGTTCATAAGGAACACCAGAAGCAATTTGCTTTCATCTGGCAAGGCCCACAGTATACTTTTACTGTCCTGCCTCAAGGGTATATTAACTCTCCAGCATTGTGCTGTAACTTGATTGGCACAATCAAGGGATCTTGATTGCCTGACTGTTCCACAAAATATCACACTGGAAAACTATATTGATGATGTTATGCTGATTTGATCCAGTCAGCAGGAGGTAGCAGACAGTCTGGACTTGTTGGTTAAGCATATGCACATGAAAGGATGGGAAAAAAATCCAACCAAAACTCAAGGGCCTTCTACCGCCG